AATTGAGGGTAGGGTAGGGGGGGATAAGCACAATGGTTCAGATGGCACAGTCAAAATCTTGGGACTTGTTGGCAAGTGTTGGATCCGTGACCCTGCAAGGAGCACACAAATAAGTAAACATGCAGTTGACGGCCCTATTATGTGTCGCATGAAGTTTAAACATTTTAAAGCTCTAGTTCTTTTATTTGGAAGGCAGATTGGTGTGTCAACAGAGTAGGCAGAACACAACTGGTAATACAAAATATTTGTTAAAATATTTATTGCAAATATTTATTGGCCGTGATTATGCACAGCTTTAAGCGTGTTTTACACAAAGGGTGGTGGGAGTCTGGAACGGGCTGCCCTGCCATGTTGTTAAAGCCCACAGCTTGGCTTTATTCAGGAATAAAGCTGGATGAAATCTATGGAGCAATCAGCTACTAGCAACCAAGCAATGCTGATGGGTCAAAATGGCTTCCCCTCGTTTGTAACCTTTCCTGTGCTCTTCCGATCAGAGTTATCTGTGAAGCATCGCAGACGACTTTCATAACATTGTGACATTTTTCCTAGCCTAAGAATGACAACGCACCTCTTACTGTTAGAAAACCTCGACTACACAGGATGCATAGAGGGTACAGCTGCTTGTTTGTCTTAAAAAACCCGAGCGAGTTGTGTGGAGTTGCGTGGAGGCGAGGGCAAACATTTACTGAGTAAACACATCTTCTAGAGTCCAGGAGGCGCTAGACCTCGAGCGCGGTCCAACGTCACGCCAGTGTTCAGTTTCAGAAGGGGACACATGCCGATCATCGGAGGGCCTGCTTCCGTTTTTGTCCCCCCACGCCAGCAGATCAGGGCACAGCGCGGCCGTTCCACCTCCCGTAACGCTCTCACGAACAGGTGTGGCATCCGTCAGTGGTGCGCTCGTGGAACATTCCCCCAGGTTGAGTAGCTGGAGGAAAACCCTGTGTGGACACAAAAGCATGTCAAGGGAATGATTTTAAACATGAGCGATTCGCAGCAAAATGGCGGACGAACCCGTGATTCAGTAATGGGATGTATACCCCCCCCCCGCGCCCCCACCGTTCAGGCCTCCTTTTTGTATAAAATAATGCAATTCTTCTCCTTAATTAAATCTTCTTAAATGTCTATTTCGGTCAACCTGTTTAGTGACCGATTCTTTTCTTTTCAGGCACACAACTATTTTGGTTTTTATTGCTCCTTCAGAAGGCTGGGCTCAGGCCTGTCAGCGGGTTTTTTTTTCCCTCCCCACAGACGGCGGCTTTTACTCGGCCGGCCTGATGGGAAAGGATGGTGCCCAGAACGTTAGCGCTCGGAGGTCACCGACGTTGCTTGCTAAGCGAAAATGTTTGGGAAGCCGCGTCGCAGCGCATGGCACGCTGTCGTCAGAGCGTGGTGGGGAGAGACGCTCGGCCTGGCCTGTCTGGTCAGTAATGAGAGAGGCTGCCCAGGGCCACAGCGCCCACTGTGGCTGAACTCGCATTTCTTGGCCAGTTCCATCTTTTCTCTCCTCAGCCAGCTCTAACATGGAATTAGTGTTTCAGGGGAGGCCGCTTATTTTAGCTGGAATGTCTAGACTGTGTGATTCCAGATCCTCAGATGTTGCAGTCGCATAAGAACACAGCAGGCGGGGTGCCAGTGGGATCGTCTTTTATAATAGACATGTTTTCTTGAGTCGAATCAAAATAAGAACAAGGCGTTAGTGAGCTGTCCTTTTTGACAGATTTACAGTCTACCTGCCTGCCTGCGTACAAGCCATTTCAATTTCTCAAAAAGGTTTTTTTTATTAAAGCAAATTGATCTGTTGAGGCAATGTGAGCATTAAAGCAAGTCCTTTAATACTGTAACTTATTGATATGTCGGAAAATAACATTTGGTTTCTCAAACCCGGATCTATTTAGCAGCGGAGATCTACGTCATTTCTTTCACTGGTTCAGTTTCAGTGTGCTTGCGCCATGATTTTCACGTCCATGTGAAATGGCTCTCTTTCTGGCAGGTACCGTGTTAGGGTGTCGGCGGTGCTGTGTTTTCAAATAAGGGGTTTCACTGTTGAATGGCTGCCTTCCCTTTTTTTGAGCACCTAGTTTTTTTTCAAATATCAGCACTCTTATTTTTTTTTTGTTCTTCTGCTGAGGGTCTTGCAACAGTAAGCCAGCGTGTTTCTGGGAAGCGCACCGTGCTGAATTGTGCAACACAAATGAAGTGCGGTAAGGCTCCTAGGGGCCAGAAGGTCAGTGTTAGGACTCCCCCAGCTGTGCATGATGTGCTGCAGATGTCTTACAGATGTGTAGGCTTGTCATTCTCCGCTGCAGCAAAGGTTGGTCACATTGATTGCAATTTGCTTTGGTACTGAGGACCCTTAAATTACAACAGTGTTACCCTTAAAGCCAGTGTTCCCCATGAACACAAAGGGATGCGATTTCTTTATGTGGAATTAATATAATAAGAATGTCCCAAAACACTTAAGGCTAGTCTTAATCTTAAAGCATGGTGGCTGAAGTCTTCAGTTGTACAGCTGTTAACTTGGGCCAATTAAAATGACATCAATTGCAATGCGATTGCTTTTACTTATGAGGGTATTTTAAACCAAACCAGAGGTCGCGTCGTAAGATCTGTAGTAAAGTATGCCTTAACACAGTTCCCAGGTATTGAGAACCCCCTGCAAGCCAAACACTGCATCATGCCTTTGTGAAGTTTCTTTCTCCCTCTTGCATTGCAGTGTGTGTGAGCTGGAAGAGAGTGCGACTAAAAATATCAAACACTCATGTGTAATCGATTGCTCAAAATTACACAATGTGGTCTTAGGTACAGCATCCAAAATATGGTACAATTTCGCAACATTGAAAACTGAAAAATGTGAAATGTTACACAGCAGTGGAAGGTGCCATTTCCCTAATTTGTATTAATATCTTACGTTTCTTAACCACTTCTCTATAAACTGTTTTTCTTACATTAGTGTGCAAAAGGTTCTCAGGCTCCTGAGCCATTGATTTGAATAGCCAGCCCTAGTGTGGTACATCTTAAATTAGTCATGGGTGCCCTTTTCTTGTTTATTTTGTCAAAGCCTTCCGGGTGTTGTAGAAGATGCTTAGGCACATCGACTATTTTAAAACCAGTGTACTCATGAAAAATATCTTGTCAGCTGAAAAGTGATGCCTTTTGTGTGAAAAGGAGGGTGAAAATGCCAGGAAGTGGTTTCCTGATTTTCATGGAGCAATCTCTGTGTTATAAATTAATTTGTGCCTGGATTAGCAAACCCTCTGCTTGAAAGCAGTTGGGGCCAAGCACACTGGTCTAGAACTGGTTAAGAAATAAAAGATTTGTTGTCTAAAATCTTTCCAAGCAAAACCCATGAAATACAGCGGGTTTCCTACTGATTCTGGCTTTTAAGTAAGGCATTGTTTATCCATGCAGGTATAAACCATCAGCATTCACCACTGTCCTGTGCAGACAGAATTTCAAATACCCCAGTATTGAAAACTGTGTTCACTTAAGTGTGGGTATAGCTGTTCCAAACGCATCCTGCATTCATGCGATGCTTCTTTCACAGTGGAAAACTTAATACGCACATGTGCACAGCAGTAAAGAATGCAGACGTACAAAAGCAATCAGTTGTGAAGAATCACAGATGTGCAGCTTCATAGCTCGGTTCAAGCCTTGCAAGGTTCTTCAATTCACTATTTCTGACTCGACCACAGCAGCACCTAGATATGCTTCTTGGGCCATTTCATCGGAAAAGAGAACTAGCAGAAGAGGGGTGTGTTCGTGTTTTATCAGCCCTGCTGCACGTGGGCTTTGATGGGCCAGTGCTCCCATTTGCATGTAGCTGAAAGAGCAGCAACACCACAAACAACCATAGAAGTATTCCAGGTAAACTGTCTACTAAGGCTAGTATTCCTATATGAGGGTGGCCTTGGGTGCCAAATTGGGTATATGTTGGCCCAGAAAATGTCTGCATTTCACTCGAATGCCCTCTTTCATCCATTTTATAACTACTTCTTCCAATTCAGGGTTCAAGGAGAGCTAGAGCCTATCCCAGCAAACAATGGGCTCAAGGCAGGGTCCATCCTTGACGGGATGCCAATCTGTCACAGGGCACACACACAGACACACACATGGTGACACCAGTTCCAATTTTGCCAGAAGCCAGTTAACCCACCAGTAAGTTTTTGGACTGTGGGAGGAAACTGGAGCACCCGGAGGAAACCCGTGGCATGGGGGGAACATACAAACTCCACACAGATAGCACCCCGGATCCAGAATAAACCATGCCATGGAATAGCTGTTTGAGGCGTGCAGTCTTCCAACCACAGCCGAGATCCTTCTTGCATGCAAATGTAGCACTTTCCCGTCTTTCTAGTCTCTCATCACTGAGTTACTCTTATTGTCACATTATAGAGTTTTGCAGACGCCAATGGGGAAGTTGTTTTCTCTGTGTGATGGCGGGCTGGTTTGTTATTGTTTTACTTGGAAAGCTCAAGTTTCATACTCGCAGTGCAAATACCCTAAGAGAACTTATCAGGCAAAACAAACACACCCTCTCCTGCTGTACATCCTTCGTGGTGAAAGAATGCATGTTTTGCTGATAGCGCATTTAAGAGACAACTTCCACATTATCATCTGTCATATGTTTAATGTAGAGATGGATTTATGATTATTAAGTTTGTGAGGACACTAGTATTTTAGGAAATCGGACTGTAGAAAAATAAAAATATATAAAGACCCTTGCATGTTCTCTGTTTTGGATCATCCTAGCACACACATTTGCCAGTAGTACCAAGTTAGGGGACTGTGACTTTAAATAAATCATGCTCTTCATAAATTAGTGTCATTTACAGTTTGTGGAAACCACAGATGTTTTTTTTTTGTATTCCTTACCTTTAATGTTTGCTCTGCATGTCCATAGATTATCCAGGCACACAACCAGCTGCCTCCTTTCAAGGTAACAAAGTCGCAGCAAGAACGTCACACAACTCCATTAACCTGCCAATGTCTTCCTGTAGGTGCGCTACCTGAAGATTATTGAGAAGAGTGGGTACCAGGCCCTGCCATGGGTACGATACATCACCCAGAATGGAGGTAAGACTTGATCCAGAGACAAAGAACCGCCCAGTGTCCCTCACACTGTTACCTTAGGCTCACTCCTCCTTTAGAAAAGAGCTCAATCTTTAAGCAGAAGTTTGCAGTCCTGGGTTCAGTGCATTTTTCAACTGTGGAACCCATGGAATTAGGTGTCTAAACTAATCGTTACATCTGTAAACCATCCATCCATCCATGTTTATAATCCACTTATCCAATACAAGGTTGATGAGGAGCCGGGGCCTGTCCCAGTAAGCAACAAGCACAAGCTGGGATAGACCCTGGACAGAGCACCAGACTGTCGCAGGGCCACACACAGACACAAACACACATGCTCACAACCAGAGGGAATTTTCCCAGAAGCCTGTTTGCCTACCAGCGCATCTTGCGACGGCGGGAGGAAACCCACATGAACCTGGGAAAAACGTACAAAGTCTACACACCTAGAGCACCCCAGGAACTGAACCCAGTGCCCTAGAATCACAAAGCAGCAATGCTGCCCATCCATAAACACAACTGCGGGATTTTCGTAACATCATGCTGATGCTTGTGACATCCTTCAGCTGCGTGTGCCTCTTGTGCTTATGGACGTGTTTGTGCCAATCAATTCAAGCTTCGTGTACATTTCCCTGGATTGACCAGGCTTGATTTCGGAAGCCTCTCCACAGCGCATGGTCTCTGATAACCGTGCATCTTGCTGTGTTGGGGAAGGAAGGAGGCCACAGACAGCAATGTTGTTTTTGGCTTCTGTTGTCAATTTGTCTTACCCAGAATAAATGGCTCTTGCATGAAAAATGCAGCTAAATAAATCACAGGCTGTGTGGATGAGGCCAGTTCATGAAATACTCTTGATATCAGCTAGAGGAAAGTATAAATCTCAGAAGACCCATAGGGAGTTTTTCTGTTTGGGCGCTAGTTTGGTGCGTGCTGAATGTGCCAGGTCAGGCCGGCTTTAGAATTTGGGTTTGGCTTACAAAACCGGGAAATGGCCATTTTTTTCCCCCCGGGTAGTTTCATTGTTTTTGAATGAATTTCTTTCAGAAAAACAGTCTGAAAAAGAAATACCCACACTCTCTAAGACTTTGAAAGACGGCGTGCGCTTGAGAGAACTAGATAGCTTCTGTTGAAGTAAATTACTGTTGTCTGTCAGGTGGAATTAGAGGAAAAAAAAACGCAACACACAACATTGAATCAAGACATTGGAGACACTCGCAACCAGTCATTACCTTTTTCACAACAAAAGAATGAATCCTTTGAAGGAGAAAGAATCTCACGTAAGAGTTTCAAGCCGGGGGTTGTGAACTGACTTCCACAGAGTAATGTCTTCATGGGAATCCTGTGCCAGAAATCCTGAACTCTGCAGTGTGGGGTTAGAAGATGACTAATGGTAGTAGCCCAAAGGGATTCTGCAAGTATGTGTTTTCTTGAAAATGCTTTTGTTGCTTTTTGTGTTCATGCTTTGGCAAATGTGCTTAAAGACAGAACAGTTTAAAGGGAGGACTGGAATGTGGGCTGGGGTAAGGTGGGATCGTGTTAAAAAGAGACTGTACTGTTTTTATTTACTGGATTTTGCCTATTGATAAATGTGGGTTAATCGCAATAGACTGGTGCACAATAGGAGAGTTGACAATCCCTGCTCTTAGAGCTCATTCAGCAGTGTCCTTAAGGAATAGATAGTTCTTTGTTGGGGAGGGATACAGTGTGAAATAAAGAACACTGCAGCAGATTTTTATCGAGCTCCAGCCATTGCACAGTGAAAAGAAACGAAGGACACCTCAGACAAGCAACCAAAATGGTGGAACTTTCCAGCAAGAGGCGATAATAAGGTTAAACAGATGGGTTTTTGTTGAGGGATGATTCTGACAACACAGGAAATAATAAGGGGATAATTAGAAGGTAAATAATTAGAAGGCAGGAGTAGGAATCGTGGAACCACACCGTTTGACAATAGTGCCAGTTTTCTCTGGGATTATTGAGATGCCGGTTTACAGTTCACAACAAAATATGTATTAAAAAGTAACAGTATCTCATCTGGAAGCCTCAGATTTAAACGCGCCTGTTTCCTGAATGCAGGCTTTTGGTGAAGCTGCAGCACAGGTCAGGACAGACCGAGTTAAACACGAAGAGCCCGACTGACTCCAGATAATGCCAGTACTTCACGAGCCCGGTGCAGGCCTTTAGCTCGGCTGCAGCCTTTAAATGGCTCCTTGCGGATTAAGCTTCTCCTTCGGGGAAGCGCTCGAGACGCTGCGCTAAGTAGAGAAGGTTTCTCCCGCACGTCAGCGGTTTTTCGACGGTTCAGCGTTTTCTTTCCGTGAAGTTAAGCGCTAGTGGGTTCCGAGTTGGCGGGTACTCTTGCACAATCGGAGGGATGGGACAGGATGGATCAGCTCTCGCCCGTGGTGAGAGAGGTGTCCGTCCCTGGTTCGTCCAGGTTCGAGCTGATGGCCCGCTCCATTCCCCATTCTCTCTGGCTCGCCCTGAGCCGTTATCCCAAGCGATTCCTATTCTCCGAGAGCCTCCCCTGCCTACATCTCTGGGGTTTCAGCTGTGCAAGGTTTAGACTTAGTTGGAATTTGTTTCTTCTCCAAACAAACAATCCCTCTGTAAACCCGAATGGAGAAATTCAAAGCACTAGGAACAGTGTCCTGTAGTTGGGGTTGTAGAGCCATGTGTGTACATTAAAAGGCATAAAAATGCCACAAATGAGTATTGGGACCAATGGTGTTTGTTGCGTTATTAATGGCTTTCAGTACATCTTTAAGTTTCATTGTTTGCGTGGTGTTCTGACGCTGCCTTGCTCTTTCGCTTTAATATGAAACATCGGAAAAACATACAATGTATCGCGAAGCTTTTTGAAGAAATAGGAATCGGCCTTGTGTCTTATGTCTGCTGCCATGCTGGCACCACAGCTGCACCACACTCCTTGAGTGTGCCCCCCTGGCAGTGCCATTCACCAGTTGCAGCCAGCAAGCTCCATGGTGCCTTATAGGAGAGAGAGCACTGATTGGAGGAGACATGTGTCTCTCACTGGCATCAATCAAGGCCAGCGATTCCTTTTGGGGTAGCTGTGGCACAGCCACTTTCTGTATGTCACCCATTCCTGGCGATTCTCAGACACTTCCATGCCACTGCTTCGACAGTCCCAGTCTCCGTCACCAGCCGCTGCAAAAAGCTCGAATCGGGAACATCTGAGAAGGTGCTCACCTGCTCCTCAACTGCTTTTTCTGTTGGAGCCAGGAGCGAGCCTATCGCACTCATTTCTCCATTTCTAGTTCAGGTTTCCTGGCTAAGTTGCCATTTTTAAAAAGTGATGTGGTATTTATAACCATTTCTATTAGGCCTCCCTGTGCTTCAGGAACATATGATAGAACTGTGGTCTAATAAACAAACCACTGACTTTGTTTCTTAACACCTGTACAACATCTCACATTAAACAGAAGGTCTCTTCACCAGGGAGACTGGTGAAATACAAATACAAGCTCGGAAAGGACAGCTGAAATTAGTTCATGTTTCTAAAAAAAAACCTTGTCCCGCAAACAAAAATCAAAGCCTACATGATGAATGATGCGTCGGCTGTATCTCTTCAGCTGGACTTATTTTTTTCTGGTTTTGGAGGAGCACACGCAAGACTTGATTAAAAAAAAAAATACCTTGAAAACAGACAAGTGTTAAAAATAGGCATGCCATTTTCTACAGACGTCCATTTACACAAACCTAGCAATAAAAAAAAATATATAAAAAACAGTCCTCTTCTGGTTTGTTAATGTGTAGGTTCGTTAGGCCACTTAAAAAGATTTGTCAGATTTGCAGAAAGGTTTTTTTTTTTACTGCTGCTGTTGTTGTCGCTGTCCTCCCACTGCAATTACATGCTGGGCTCCGAGATGGGAGCGCTGTGTGTGCATGTACTGTAGCAAGTGTGGGGTCTAAGCGTGGGTCTGTGACGCCACTCCTAGGCTCTGTGGTTTCTCTGTATTCCACTGGAGCTTTCTTGTGGACTGTGGAAATCTGATGACATGATGTCTCCTGTGTCACTGCAGCATGGCTTGCCAGTCTTGAGTCAGCACATTTTCTGTGCTGCACTTTAGCAAATTACTGTACCCAGTGCACTGCTGCACTCTTGGAGTACTGAAGGCCCTCACATTTAGGGAATCGGGCTCAAATTAGAGACCTCCCCACTGTGTGTGTGTTTAATACCACCTAGCAATTATATACTTTTGGGTTTTTAAACGCTGCTCCTTTTTAATGTTAACATCTCCCCAGTCTTTCAGGAAACCAGCCTGCTGTTTGAAGGGGCCAGGCGACATTGTTCTTGTGGTCTAATTTTATCTGTTCATTGCAAACAGACGCAGCTGTGCCTTTTTTTTTGTTCTAGACCCCCTTTGCTCCAGTTCTAGTAACAGATCTATAGAAGCTGTGGCTGAGCTGCATGTATACATGCAGACTTGAGGTTGTTCATACAATATTCCACTTAGACTGACTTTTCAATCCAAAATGTTGACGAGATAAAATCCTTTGTTGTCGCAGAAACTCAGAAACTAGTGGTGTCTCAAACACTGCTACATATTGTGTTATTCATGGAATTGAATTGACTTTTTCACTATGTGGTCTGGGCCACGCTGGGATTATTTAAGCAAAGAAAACGTTCCATCGTAGCAGGTCTAGCCCCATGGGCCGAGTAGATTCTTGAAAGACTTATAGGGCCCAGCAGCAACTGTGATAAGGTGGTGTTCAAGCTTTTAATGTTAATGGACTGCATACCAACACCTGAACTTGTCCATGCCTTAAAAATTCTTGAGACTTCCCATCAGCAAAGAGCAATAAGAGTCAAGGACTAGGGCTGTTTCTACTGCTGCTGTCAGAAATCTGTGTGCACAACGTGAAGCTCAGCTGCTAAGATAAGTACTGCGGTGGACAATATGCAAGATTGTGTTCTCCTGAATTCAAGTAAAACCCGACAACATTTACTAAGCCTCTGCCATAGCATCATAATTTCACATTGCCAGACCTGGCTGCGAAACAAAACTCCTGAAGAGACAGACAACATGCCTGTGCCTCTTTTCTTTATTACACCTTCGACTGCAGTTACAGTCGAGGAATTATGAATCAGTTTCATGAATCACCCCATGAAGCAAGACACCTGATAACTTCATGAATTCCGATTTTATTTCCAACTGGGTGCGTGTTTTCCGCTAAAAGATGATCTTTTGGTGACAAAATAGATGAGATCAGTGTACAGTGTTATTAAAGCAAGTGGAAACAACAGGTTGCCTCATGAATTGTGCACAGAATTCCATCTCAACTTACCTGTGAGCTTGTTGGATAATAAGGTCTCTGCAGCCATTTCCCCAAGGACTGGACTACTTTTCTCATCAGGCCAAGAGCCCCCCCCCTCCCTCCTCCCCCCCATTGTTGCCCATAGCAACCATACAAATATGATTCCACTATAGGCTTTGCACTTAATTGTTCTTAGTATGGAAATGATTTAAACGCAAATTAAAAACAGACGTTTTAGGGCTCAGGAGGAAGATCGTTCCATTCTATATAGAAAATCATCGTATTCCACACCACCCTGTTTTCAGCCTTTTGTTTCCATGACAAAAACTTTCTCCAGTGTATGGGCAGTGTGTTGTGGTTATGAGGCGCTCCGACTGTGACCCGGGGGTGCTGTCCAGAGTCGAGCCTGGATTTTCTTTCCTTCCTTTCCAGGCTCCTGCTCTCAAGTGATGTGTTAAATCAGCAGCATTTGACATTGTGCTCCTTCGGGGCATGAGAGAGCTTGTGAGATCTCCGGTTTCCACTGACACGGGGAACATTGGATAACTGCATCGTACGAGGAGTAAGGCCCAGGCTGCTGTTTTTATCATCACAGATCTTGCAGGGCTTTCTCAAGCACTTCTGGCTGTGCAATTCGGGAACACAACTTGTAAAAACAATAAGCTGTTTTTAACAACTAATTTGAAGCTACCTGTGCAGGACAAATGTCCCTTTTTTAACCAGAGAGTGCAGCTGGGGAGACCTCAATACCATCACCCACTCTGAAATTCATTCTCAAGCATGTCATAACTTCAGCTTTGCTCAGATGATCTCCTAAGAGGATAGTTTTCCTCTTCCGGGTGCAGTCTGGATCATCCCTGGCCAGAAAGGGTTAATTTCATTCCAAATAGGCAGAAGTGTTTCAGTGTCCCTAGGGCGGGGGTAGGATTTTTCCCCCGTCTTGATGGAAACGGCCCCTTCACTGTGCAGGCCCGGCAGCTGGAGGCTGGTATGATATTTTTTTTTGCCGTGTCTTAACTAGGACACAGAGATCATGCCAGCAGGGATCTGTTTTGGGGCCCGTGACCTGCGACTGGTCTGTGGCCAGCGTCGTTGATGGAGAAAAGCCGGCACAGGAACACAGGCCTCTGCAGGGAGGGAAAAGCTATAATTGCGAGTTGTCGTGAGTTTTACTGCTCCCTGGCAGCACCCTTGGCCACCCTCCCAGACTGCCTCTGGTGTGATTGGGCCCTGTGTGATAGATCAGAGAGGGCGGTGTGCGTTCAAAGACATGGAGCTGTAAATCAGCCCTTGGCCCATTCCTTGCTGCAACACGGGCTGCTAAAAAGCTGACTCAAGCAAAAATCAGAAAGTACGACACTCGAACCAGTTATGTTTGTGGAGGAGGATTGATCCTGGGATGAAACGGCTGATAAACATTCTGCTTTTTGGGCAGAATAATGTCCTTTCTTCTGCAGTATTTAGGTACTGTTCTCAACCCGGTATCAATTAGTTTTTGCTTAAGGTGCTCAGCCGCCTGTTTCAGCAATAATTGTGTTCCATTGGAGTTCACATCTTTAATACCTTGATGTAAAGGTTTTTTATTCTGTTACTGTCTTGATCCTTTTCACACTACCTGTGTCATGTGCAAAAGGGGTTGTTGGCTTAAAAAGGAAAGAACCATTTACACACGACAAATGTTGAGATCTGTGCGCTCTTGTGTGAATTTATAGGATAAGTGGGCAATCCTTAATCGCAGAGTTCCTTGGTTGGTTAACATCTCAGTTGCAAAAATTAGGCAACAATTAAGCAATCGTCCAGATCCGTTCAAAGAAAAACATGCAGCACTGGAAAAATGCGGCTTTTCCTGAAATCGTGTAATACAGGAAGGGGAAACAACATTTCTGCTTGAGTGTAGTAGAACACATGATGCCACTGTCAGGTTAACAGCGATGCTGTTCTGGTGCTTTGCTGGGAATAAACAGTGGTGATAAATTGGGCCTTTGTTGAGCTTTGATTTAAAATTTCAATCCCCATGTCTGACTGTTTAAAAGTGGTTTTCTATCCTAACTGAATGGCTAAACTACATTTTTTTTTGGCTCAGAAAATTATCCATGCTTTTCTTACAACTGCTTTTAAATTATTTGGTATGAAATATGAATAAACAGCTCTTCTTTTTTCCCTGGTTCCTGACTTACCAATGTAATCAAATATCGTATTTTTTTGTCTTCTAGACTACCAGCTGAGAACACAGTAGAAGGAGCCCCATTTGGACACCCAGAAGATTCCAGCTATTTCTTTACTGTACATTTGCAAGAAATATTTGTTGTATCTGTGGCACAGAGCTCTAGTGTCTTTATTTTAGTATATTAACATTTCAGTCTTTCCAATCCCCAAGCTGAAGGGTAAGCTCATTCAGAGACAAGTAACTCTGTCACCTCTGTTGCAGATACCATTTCAGTAGTCTCGTTCTACAAATTTGTTACATTTGCAAGAAACATCTTTAGGTTTATATAGTTCATAAAATCTCAGCAAACTGAATTAGCATGTCTAAATTATGGCACATAGACATGAAATTTAATGGTCAAAGTAGGTTGTTTAAAAACAGGCAAAGCTTTAGGTTATTTAAATTAAGATATTGCCTTTTTCCCCTGAATGCATTGGGGGAAATAAATGAGAAGGTGTTCTGTTTAAAGAAGTTGTAACATTGTTTAATAGGTCCATCAAAGCTTCAGTAGAATCTTTTATTTTATTCACAGCCTGACTGATGTGCCTGAAGGAGGAAAGGCTGTGAGTTGTTGCATTGTGGACAAGATTGTTGTGTAAACTGTAAGATTTCTTTTTCTACCACAACCTCTCTATTTCTTTGTCCAGGAGGTCACGCTTCATAGGTAGGTCAGTTTGTTACCGGGCATGAACTAGAAAACAGGGAAATTGGAACAAATGCCAACAGACTTAATGATTTTCCGTAGTTCAAAATGGCAGGGTAAAGCAACCTGTTCAGTTACAAACCGAAGTATTCATGATTATTTGAAAATGTCTCTTCTCCATTTCTTGTACTGTAGGTTTATTGTTGCAGTATTAGTAACTGACAAAACAATGACCAAATTGCTGCATTAGGTATCACTGTGACGTTTGTTTGGAATTAGTGATGTGAATAGGGGTTCCTCAGGTGTACATTTTGAGAACTGCAGCACTAAGATTGCCCCCTAGTGATAGCTGTAAAAAGACTGAAAAGGCCGGAAAATAAACAACCCTCATCTGTGCTCTGTTACATGACTGAATGAATGATTTGCTTAAATGTTTTAGATTTTATCCCAGGCCTTGTCCAGCACATGTTCTGAAGGTGAACCACAGACTCTGTAAGTCATCATTGATTAATGGCCTTTAAAGTATATATATATATGCAGTTGAGAAAATAATTAGTTCCCTTACTTGCTTAAGCATTTAGATGGAGGTCTTGCAGCTTTTAGGAATTCTGAATCCCCAGTGGAGTTCTTTGGAACTTTAAATGTTTGAGAACAGTGTGTGTTTATAAGTATGGAGATCTGATGTTCTTCACCAAATGTTTTTATGAAACTGCAAAGGGTTTTGAAATAGAATACTTCATCTGTGGTCGGCTACAAAATACTGCGAACCTTTTTAAAAGGTAAATGCAACTGAAATGTTTACTGAACAGTGTTACAGTTCCAGTGTATGAATCTCTACTTTGCCTTGCTGATTCAACGTACAGAAAGAGTTGATGCGGTACAGTGCTAATCTTTTTTTTCAACGCTTATCGACTCTTCTGTTCGATTTCATTTTCATTTTTTTCCTTTCGAGTGGTTACTGGTTGTCCCTGAAGATGGTGTAGCCCAGATGTATGTGGGAGGAACTGTTATGCTTGCTGTATAGCTGTAATGGTACTTCTATATAAAACCAAGATCAACACATTAAAACACTGCATTAAAACACCTGTAAGAGGATCTCATATGATTAAAGGGGAACTTCTAAGGCATGTTTCTCAAATCTCTTGGCAGCAGTGCTATGCCAGATGAAAGGTTAAGGTTACAAGTATTTTGTTTTATGTTTGTAATCATTTCCTTCTATTGTTTTTACTCTTATAGTGACAACTACTGACCACAGACTGGCACAGCATGCTTGATTTCAATTAAACAGGAAATGCTCTCAATTCTGAGTGTGCCCTAAGGAACAACTTCATCTCTGCAAAGGGCAGAGCTCTTTAAACCATGGCAGACAAAACAAAATTGCTAGTAACAACGGGTCATGCACACTCCTCACTTGCTGCCATACTGTAGGTGTTGTGTTTAGTCCACCAGTAAATAGTTCTGCTGCTCTAGAGAGGATTAGGAAAGTCTGAAATCCAGCACTTGCAAAACAAATTCTGACACCAACAAACTCTTAAGTCTAGTTGATTATTTAAGAATAGGGTGTAATGCTAAAAACCCCTTCATTGGGGGGGAAACATACTGATTCTTAGGACAGCAATGCTCCTATATCTCCCTAGCAATCCTTTTAATCTTTATATAGCATAGGCCTGATTTTGCCTGTGTATTTCTTGTGTAGCTATTACCATTGCCATGTTGGAAGCTTTTTGTCTATAAATTGAATTATTTGTTCTCTGAATGGCCTGGATGCATCTCAGTCTCAATCTGTGTCTCTAAGCTGCTCTTGTGCCTGGGGGAGGGCGGCGAGTTTAGCAGAATTGTTCCACCTGACTCTAGCTGCAGTGATGCAGCTCCTTTGTCGTTTCTTGTTTGCCATCAGTACATTGTTAAATCATAAAATACTGAGCACCCCCCCCTTTGAATGTAAGCATTTAATTAAAGTAGTGTATATTGTAAATGCCTCCAGTAAGCCTTTCATGTTTTTTTAGACACTTGGGTGAAATAAGATGTTTTTGCCCCCGGTTGACTCCTGTTCCTAAGGGAGTCGCCTGGAGAAAGTTTGCGCTCTGAGCCCAGGCGCGGCCTTGCGTGCCGTTTAGAGATTGTTTTCCAATTAGCGTAGGTGGGTTCAGCGCGGAACGTCAGGACTGGCGGTGCGAACTGTGTGCCTTCAGGTTTGATTTGATTAAAATGTGGTTTTTCATTGGGGAGAAAGGCGAAAGCTGATTAAAAAAAAAAAAGCAGCATGAGATCATTGCCTAAATGCAAAGCACATACATGTCGGAGCTGACGAGGCATTTATGTATCTCCGCGCAGAGCTCTGATTTTGAGAAAGCATGGAAAGTTGACAAAAAAATCAAGCAACGACCGCGACGGAGGCACTGCTGATGTAAGGGATACAAATAGAATGGCACCTATTTAGGGTAAAATGTAAACCATGAGAACAGAGCTGAAATCAGGAAGCCCCAGCTCATTTTTCACTCGAGAGAGGGGGAAAAAAAAAACAGTCTGCGTGAGCCTTGAATCCCCTCCCTGTGGGCTATTTTCGAACCGGTGCTCTGTGAACGGCGGCGCTGGCTCGGGGGCTTGTGATGTCACCCACGCATTGATGCGGAGGACTTGGGAAATGAGCTGGGAATGTGCAGAGGAAGTGATTCAAAGGAGAACAGGCTCGGCGCTGAGCTCTGCCACTGGCTCGCCGACTGGAGCAGGTTCCTGAGTGAGGGAATGGCCGGGCTCCGTCATTGTTCCCGCGCGCCAACAGCGGCCCCTAATTAGGTAAACCTTCGATTGCAGGGACCCCCCCCCGCCAGCTGGGAGCCCGTGACTGAGAGTTCCCAAACATCACGTCATGCACTCGAAAACAATGGAGCGCTGGCTGTGATCTAATTTAGTTTTATGTTTTAAATCAGACGCCTTCCCTCCCCCAGCTTCGTCTCCTTCTCATGTTAATCTCACGCTGTGCACATCCCAGGCTGTCTTATATCATTCCCTAAGTAGTTTCACAGGTAGGCCGGTAAGCTGATAAAAGCAAACCAGCACAATGCGCTGTGTTTTGGCTCAGGCCTTCCCTCCCCATCCTCATTCAAAGACGAGGAACACAAGAACTGAGCATACTGGCTCGTACTTTGCCTAATTTTTAAATTAGATTTGTTTATTTTTTCGAACTGGGTGCATTTCATTGGAAAAATCACTCAGAGCTGAAACTCTAATCATCCTACCATTTCCTAAGGCTTGTATAATCTGCACACAATTTATGACTAATCAAAGCTGGCTTTTTGTTAAGTGGGGGGGGGAGTGTTTTTAGTTATAAAAATAAATTGACATTTGTACTGGTTTCAATGGAACCACATCAGTTAAATGCCTCAGATCTCTGTCGTCTTGAGGAACGATCAGAGCCAACGGGACTTAAGTTTTTACCCAGTAAAATACACGCTCCCTGGAATGCACGTCTCTTACTGCAAAGAGCTTGAATTCTGAAATATTGAAACAAACTGAGACTTTTCCGTTCACCGCAAAACAAGATAAATAATACTCTATCACCCTGAATCTAGTATTTAGGCGTTGTCATGGCAGTGAAATTAATGGGTCTGAAATGTAGGCGTTTGAACAGCCATACACCTATAGACCAAATGTTTGCAAACCAAATATGAGGATTACTTTTGTTTGAACTAAAATTCCCTCACATATATTTTAAAATATCTGCCCTGTTATTATCTAATCTTCATTGTTGTCCTTCGTACATAAATTGCTTCTGGTATTTGCTTGTAGAAGCCCACAATTCTGTGTATGACAGTGGACAAAAAAAGGCCGAATATTTGTTGATTAGCTGTCAAGGTTTCCTGGTAAAGCACAGAAAGTATTGACACAGGGATAAATATTGAGGCTGGCCTGTAAAATTAAACAACTGCTTTCATGGTAGCAATGGCTTAAACATTTCTGTAAAATTAGGAAGTGAAGAGGAGGTATCTGAATCTAGCTCAGCTTATTAAAACCCTCACAGCTCGACTTAGCTGATAAGCTTCTGAGTACTGCATTTTGTAATACACCTAAATTTTTAACACCTGTTAAAAATAGCAAGCTCAATATCGCATCACAAGCACGATCAGTTATTGGAAACTTAAATACTTAAAGCACCATTATTACCATCCACCGTCTAAGCACTTCCAGTTCAGAGTCACAGGGAAGCCCGAGCTTATCCCGGCAAGCAACAGGCACAAGGATGGGAAACGCCTTGAATGAGATGCGGGCCCATCATCACAGGAGCAACAAAAACGCACACTCGCACAGGGGCCATTTTTTTCCCCCAGAAGACAATTAACCTTTTGGATTGTGGGAGGAAAGCCATTCAAATGCAGGGAGAGCATACAAACTCCACACAGATAGCACCCCAGGTCCCCAGCACTGCAAACCACTGTGCCCCCCTTCTGCCCGAAAGCTAATATTACACAATGGAATGCCAGCTGAGCTCTGTTGTGGTCTTTAACTGATCCTCTCAGACTTCTGGTTTACTTGTTTCCGCACAGTTTCTAAAATTCGTGCACACCGTTTTTCGGCACTTCCAGCACACTGAACTGTAGGTAGTCTGTCTTCAGCTGACACACCCTTGTTTCTGACTAAATGGGGGGGGTTCACAAAGTTCAGAAACCACAAGAGCATGCTAACATGTCACAGCTGTCACTCCACATCCTGAAAAAAAAAACACAGCAAGTGGCTGTCTCTCTCTCACACACACACACTCGCCCACCTACTCATCTTTCTGTGTCCTTCTGTCCATCTCCACCTAATCGGGCCTCCTGGCTCAACTTCTCCCTCTGTGCTGCGAGTCTTGACTTTTGTTCTTCTTCCAGTGACTGGCCCTCAGCCAAGCAGTTTAAGCCAAAACAGCTCAAGCCGGACTCCTTAAGAAACATTCCTAAAAGCATTTACATAATTGGCCAATGTTACCCCTCGCAAAACAGCTCTTAGTAAGCGATCAGTTTCAGATGAGCAGATGCAGCTGAGAATGGCACTATGTCAGGCACAAGGACTTTTTTCCCCCATCTTCAGGGGCTCAATTGGTTGCAACTCGTGCCATTCATGCACAGATGAGGGTTACCAGTTCGATGGTTTTGAGTTTTAAATTGTTCTGCTAGGCTCCTGATATAAAACTAAAATCAATTAGCTTGTGTAAAAAGACAACAGAAGGCAGCACTAAGAGCAGGTCTGGGAGATGAAAGCTGGTTTTAAATGCTAAGATTCTGATCTCCATCACATGAAATATTTTTTTTTTTCTCAAGAGTATTCTAGGATTCTCATTGAAGACAGGTCTTTGGTGTAGTCCAAGTTCCCCGACTTATCGTGTTAACATGACAAATGTATTCTGCCAGCAGGAATCTACTGGCAATCAAAGCAACATCTTCTGCTATCTGGTTCTCCCGTATTTTAATCTGTAATTATTAGTCCTGCTTGGGGCACTAAGCACTTGGCACATCTAGCTGGTAAGGCTTAGATTTCATTCAGCGGTCTGATTACAAACAGATCAGGTGAGATTTCTTCAACTGGATAGCTCTTGCTGCCCACACGACACTGAAAATCACAGATGTTAAGTGCATTTTTCCTGGACTATATGCCTGATATTACATCGAATAAATTTATGACGGCTTCTGTGCTATTTTTGGTCTTGTGGAATCCATTAGCCCCCACCAAGAGTATGGAATGTGCCTGTTATTAGTTTTCAGAGCAAGACAGTTTAAATCCTCAGGCGCGGGGGACAGTAATTCTCTGCTCTCTCCGGGAGCTCTGATTAGAGGAGAAAGTGGCCCTACCAGTTATTAAATTCCCAGGCCTCAGCTGCTGAAGAAGATGTGCACGCTACCTGCAAATTCCGTGAATTACCTTCCTGCCGGGGTGCTCATTAAAGGATTACTGTAAGACCCTAAGCACCGTTTTACAAAGTCAGTTTTCTCAGGTTCAGCACCACTTCAGCGCTAAGTAAACATAAACTTTGACCATTTGGAAAATATTTTCTGAAAAGCCAATTGTCAGAGAACCCCTATTACGCAGTTCCTTGTCATTAGCGACACTGTCTGCCCTCGAGATTTGGGAAGCTGTTTCTATTACATTCCTCAGTATGGTTACAAGAGATGGGAGGAGGGTGGAGGTGACCTTTCTCCTTCACACACTTTTATGTTTATATTGACATTTACAGGACAGGCCAACATCACTGTCCGGCTGTTTTTAAAGGGCTGGTGTTTTCCAAAATAATAAAGTCCCCGGTCTTGTTTTTCAGGACTTGGTAGCTTTAATATGTCTGCCCAAACAATTTTTACTTATAAAAACACACTTCATGTATGGTCCCATAAGTAGGGTTATACCTACCCCCCCTTAAAAAATATACTGTCCATCCATTTTCTGACTGCTTCTTCCAGTTCAGGGTCATGGGGAGCCAGAGCCTATCCCAGCAAGCAACAAGCACAAAACAGGACATAACCTGGATGGGATGCTAGTCCACTGCCAGGCTCACAGACCGGGACCAATTATCCCAGAAGCCAATTAATCCACCGGTAGGTTTTTGGACTGTTGATGGAAACCAGTGCACTCAGAGAACACCCACACAAACTCCACACAGACAGCACCAGGTCTGGAATTGAAACTAGTGCTAACCACTGCCCCACTGTGCCACCTTTCAAAGGTATTGATACAGATGACCAACTCACACACTGGAACAGCATCAATATCTAAGAGGAGCAATATTGCTATAGATTCCATAAAATGTCATTTAATAACACTAACTGGGAAAATGTGTGGAAATCCCAAGATCTATACCATGTGAGGTCTAAGAGATTTATACATTATATTGAAACAATATATTGATTTATAAATTACTTTTCAATATCTCCCCTCCTTCTTACTTCTGCCTCAAAGATGTCGAATGTACCCTAAATGTACTCTACACTTGTCATTAGCCTGATATCA